GCGTTTTCTCAACTGAGGCTCCTTTCTCTCAGATGACTACATCATGTGTCAAGTTGACATAAAATTAGCCAGGACAGCATCTCTCCAGACCCCCTTGCAGAACTTTATCAAGAATTAGTGTTACCTGCTTTCTGCTCCCTGGCCTAATAATTTACTTATGTGGCCTAGAACTTGGAATTTATTTTACTACCTTAAAATACAATTTGTAAGTAGTTACAAAAATGTCAGGCAGTAGTGACACATGTCTTTAACCCTAAAACTTGGGAGGCAAAGGCAAGTGGATCTCTGTGAGTTTGAGACCAGCCTGGTCTACAAAGCAAGTTCCAGGACAGCTGAGGCTACTCAGAGAAACCTTGTCTCAAAAACAAAAACTGCAAAAGTATAGAAAAGATCATTTATTCTTTGTCCATTTTAAACAATATCACATTTTACATAATTAGACTACAGTATCAAAATCAGAAAATCCACATTGGCACAAGTGTGTGTATAGTTCTATGTCATTTTATCATATAAATATTTAATGTTAGCGAACACATTAAAAAATAAAGAATTATTCATTCCTACAAAGTTATTTTTTGTGGCACTTCTTATAGTCATACCTCATCCCTTACCCCCAAATGCCTTACATCTGGTACTCACTAATCTATTTTATAATTATACATTTATAAGCCAAATAATTTTTAAAATGGTATAAACTTATACCATTTCAAGAATGGTATCAATCTAATCATATGGATATAGTTTTTTCGACAAGTTTAAATCCATCTAAAATCCTTTATTGGGACCATATGTGTGCTGTTCAGAGAGGCTCTGGGTGGTTCCTTCTCTTTTGTGCTGTGACCTGCATAGGCTTTCCGAGCCTTGGGGAGAACCTGGGTCACCAGAAAGTGGAAATAGAACTACTGATCTTTGAAGCTGTGTCTGTGAACTTTACCCTGGGGGGTGCTGTTTGGGACCCTCCCCAGAAGATCCTCTACAGAGACATGATGTGGGTAACCTTCTAGAGCATGGCCTCTGAAGCAAAAATGTGAATACCAGAACATTGAAGATGGCTACACAAGTCCCAGGTGATATATAAGAAGTCAAGTTGCAGAGGAAATCTTGTGAAGTGTGTCCTCTGTGGTACAAAAATGGATAGCCAGAACATTGAAGATGGCTACACAAGTCCCAGGTGATATATAAGAAGTCAAGTTGCAGAGGAAACCTTGTGAAGTGTGTCCTCTGTGGTACAAAAATGGATAGCCAGAACATTGAAGATGGCTACACAAGTCCCAGCAAAAGTCAAAGATACTTTGAACATAAAGTGAGGAAACGATCTGTGAAGACACTAGATTGTTTTTTGAACAAAAAAACTTCTGCATGAGAAATCAATCCCTCACTGTATGTGGATCCTCATTTGTCATTCATCCCCAAACTTGACCTTCAGAACTCATACAGACAATAAACGATATGATTATGAGGAAAATGGAGCAAAATGTGCTGTGGTGGCAAATCTTGGTTGTCAATTTCGAGACACCTGGGAAGAGGGAACCTCAGTTGAAGAATTGCTTTCATTAGATTGTCCTGTGAGCATGTCTGTGGGGCATTGGGGTTGCTGGTTGGTAAGGGAGGGCCCAGCCCATAGTGGCTTGTACTATCTCTGGACAGGTTAGCCTGCGTTACATAGGAAAACTTGCCCAGTAGACCATGAGAAGCAAGCCGGTTGACAGCGTTCCTCCATGGTTTCTGCTTCAAGCTCCTGCTTTGAGTTCCTGCTCTGGCTTCCCTTAGTAATGGATTGTAACCTGGAAATAAAGCCAATTAATAAAGCCAATTAAACCCTTTTCCCCAAGCTGCATTGGTCCTGATGTTTATCACAGCACCAAAAACCAAACTAGAATCTGGAGAACTAACTGATTTCCAGTGCTTCCAGAAGCAGAGAATACTGCTTGGAGATACTCTGTAAAGGTAAGCAATGTGGTAGTCTTCAGTTTCTTTGGGTCTGCTAGAAATCATACAAGGACTCATGCCGGAGAGAATCCTTATGGATATAAGCCGTATAGAAAAGGCTTCAGCCACTCAAATATCCTCAGCTCCACGCAAGTACTCACATTGGAATGGGACCTTCTACATATAAGCAGTGTGGGAGAAATTTCAGTTATTCTATTTTCTATCAAAAACATGCATGAATGTACATGGCAGAGAAACTTCATGAATGAAAATAAACAAAAAACCCAATCATCAACAAAAACGTGAGGAAAACTTTGCATTTTTTTTTTTTCTGATACACAAAAGAATTCTGAAAGAAACATACTTGTAAGCACCGTGGGACAGCCTTCAATCATTTTAGTACTCCTTTCATTCCTTTGAAGTTTTTTTTTTTTTTTTTTTTTTACTTTTACCCACTTACAATTGCCATAATAGATTAAGGTCAGTGCTTTCTTATTCTAAGATTTCATCTTTGAGTAGCCATCATTCCTTTGAACATTGCCTTTATTCTTTCCCCTTGATGTTGATGTGGCAGGTAACAGACCTTATTTCCTTCTTTATGCCTTTTCCTCTTTCAGTTTTCCACCTTACCTGCTTGCTTGATAAAAGTGATTTTCTCAGATCTGTTCCATTTTGCTAGTTGTCTCTTCTGGCTTTATCTGTTTCCATTGAGCTTTGTTGCTTATAAAATTTTAATGATATCAGCTTAATTTTGTGATTATATTTTAAAAGCTGTTGTTTTGATTTTATGTTGTATTTTATGTCTGATTTAACTTAACTCGCCTATAAAAAGACACAGGCAAACAATAGATACGAAGACAGAATCCAACCTTCTGCTGCATACAAGAAACACATCTAAGCTTCAAAGACAGATGTTACCTCAGGGTAAAGGGCTGGGAAAAGATTTTCCAATCAAATGGCCCTAAGTAGTAGCAAGCTTGTGTAGCTATCCTAATATCTAACAAATTAGACTTCAAACTAAAATTAATCAAAAGAGATGAAGAAGGTCATTTCATATTCATCACAGGAAAAATCCATCAAGATGAAGTCTCAATTCTGAACATTTATACCCCAAATACAAAGACACCCACATTCATAAAAGAAACATTACTAAAACTCAAATAACACAGTAAATCCCAAACACTTATAGTGGGAGACTTCAACACCCCACTCAATACTGGACAGGACTACTAGACAGAAACTTAACACAAGTTATGACTCAGTTGGGCTGAATAGACATAGGTGTCTGTATTTAAATACATTTAAAGTTTCTGTTTAATAGTGCTGTATCTGAAATTTGGGGGTATCTAATTTAGTTTTATACTTTTAACCTCTTTATTAAATTTGGATTGCTTCTAATATAATTTGTGATTTGAAATGGTAGATCATTTTCTACAGGACTGTTTCTGAGTTTTAGTTCTTGCTTGGGTTGAGAGTGTTGTCTCACAGAGGTTTTGCAAGGATCACACATTTATGTGTCCAACCTGAAACCAACTTTGACTTTTATTTTCTTTTAAAACTTAGAATTCCACAAGGAAGAATTTCCTGAGCCTTTTAACAACAGAAAATTTCTCTAGGCTGACCTTCTAACAGTGCATAGCTCAGTGGCCTTATTTAGTCTTTTTTTTTTTTTTTAAATGATAAAGATATCTTGTGGCATCCTTTTCTAGGCTACTGAGACTGACAAACTCAACATGACTATTAGAAGTCTCAAGGCTTTGATTATGTACTAGGAGACATCCCTTATAAATTATTGCACATTTTGTCATACATTTAATGTGGCTTTACCGGGTGGTGCTGAATGCCTTGTATCCCAGCACTTGGGAGGCAGAGATAGGTGTATCTCTTAGTTTGAGGCCAGCCTGGTAAACAAGTTGTAGGACTGTCCAGTCTATACTGAGAAACTCTGTCTTGTAAAACCAAAATAATTAAATAATTAAATAAAAAGTGACTTAACACATTATATTCAATATGACCAAGTGTGGTTTTGATGAAAGTAATTCCATATTTCTAGAAATGGAAGTCTGTTTTCTTACTTGTGGACTGGACTTCCTGAGGGCTTGGACAGTGCCGACTGAATTTACCATTGCTTCCTCAGCACATAGTGTGTGCACACCAGACATTTATTGGAGCTGGGCAGTGGTGCACTCCTTCAATCCCAGCTCCCAGGAGGCAGAGGCAGGCAGATCTCTGAGTTTGGGGCTAGCTTGGTCTACAGAGTGAGTTCTAGGACAGCCAAGGCTGCACAGAGAAACAAGAAAAAGTCTATGGAGTGAGTAAAACGCTGTTCACGAGAGGTTTAATTGTAAATGGGAAACTAGAATAAACCCAAAAGCCCAGTAACAAAGAATCAGTGTATCTGCTTCAAAGTAAGTGATTATTACTCATGCAATACTTTTTTAACCAGAAAAACCATGATCTGGAGAGCTGCATTATAAGATTTAAAGATACTAAATATTAAGTACAGGTAAGATGTAATTCAGTTTAAAGTATGATACCTCTAAAATGTGCATAGCAAAGTAAAAAAACCTGAGAGAGAGAGAGAGAGAGAGAGAGAGAGAGAGAGAGAGAGAGAGAGAGAGAGAACGCTAGAGCAAGAACATGAGAATGTATGTGAAGACCAGAGGTCAGCACTGGGAGTCCTGTGTTGCTCTCATCAATTCTGAGGTCCAGTCTTTCTCCATCTGAACCTTGTTCCACTGATTGTGTAGGCTGTCTGAGCAGAATCTGCTTTCTCTGTCCTCCCGGCCCGGCACTGCAGTTAAGAACGCAGGCCTCTAGGCCGCCTTTTACTTGGGTCCCGGGTGGAGATCTGAACTCAGGTCCTCATGTTTGCACAGTGGGCATCACTGACTGAGCTCTTTCAGCCCTAACCCTTATTTTGTAAGCTTCCTATAGTGTAGTTTTTATAGTAATGACAGTATTAAAAGGGAAAACATTAATGTCCTTAAAGGGTTTTAGATTTAAATAGACTAAAAGTTGACAAAACATAAAAATTCCAGAATTAGTTTTTATTATTAAAATATTTTCAGACTTTTATATGAAAACACAGAAAAAGATCTTTCTGATACTCAGCGACATCTTGCTAAGAAAAAATATGAGCTACAGCTTACTCAGGAGAAAATTATGTGCTTGGATGAAAAAATTGGTAAGTTTTTTTCCTGTTACTGCCTTCTATTTTTTTAAGTATGGTAGAAAAATTCATTTTTCTTTCCTTTAGTTATAATATACATAAATTTAGTAAGAGGCCCTAAGCCTTAAGTTTATGAATAAGATTAATGGAAAAGGCATTTTTATTTTACTGCAACAGTTTTAAAGCTTAGATTTAGAACCACACATACTTAGTTACAACTTGAATTTGTCAGTGAAGAGATAAAGCAACAACCCCCTTTTTCTTTATGATAATTACTTGTAATCTGATACCATTTGTATAATATGGCAGCTTACTCAGAGCAATTGAAAGGAATTGTGTATGTATTTCCACTTTGGGTAGAAAACATTCACATATTTAGTTGTATCTATAATAGTATCTGAGTTTACCAAAAAAGTTTATTTTGATTAAAAATTCCCATTTCTGTTGATGTGATCACATCTCATTCTTCAAATTATTTTAGTATTTGGAATTCTCAGGAAAAAATAATCTTTCCCAGAGAAGAGCACACTAATTGGTTATTCAATACCACTGCCCTGAAAACACACATATAAAGAACACTAAATGGTCTGAGCAGCTTGTATGTAACTATTTATGCACCTACATGTATATAACAACAATTAAATGAAAAGAGGCCATGAATTTAAAACTAAGCAAAGGGCTACATAGGAAGGTTTGAGAGGAAGAAAGGAAAAGAGGGGGTTGGCACAATTTCACAAATAATAAAATACTTAAAACTCCTCCTGCTGCTTAGTGAACATTAGCACGAGTAACTAGGTAGGTGGAATTGTTCTACTGGTTGAAACTATAAATATTCAAAGGGAAATATGAGAGATAACTTAAGATACCATAAACCATGAAGGGGTGGGGGTGGCAGAGAATAAAGAGAAGAGAATTCAAGACAGAGTGAGAAGAAACCAAAGAAGTAGGGAGGACCCAGAAGCTTCTCTGTTGGAAGGTAGGAAAGAAAGTGCTTTAATGCACAGGGTGTGATCTCTTATCAGAAACTTTTGGAAAATTAATAATATGGAGCTAAATTTGTCAAGAAACTTTAGCACACTGGCAGTTTTGGGATAATAGTGACCCAGAAAAGCTTGAAGTATTATTTGTGGAAGAGGCAGTGAGTTTAAGAATGAATGAGAAGTCACACAGAAGTGGAAAAGAACAGAAAAGTCTCTTGAGACTTGTTTATGTATGTGCATTGCATGCATATTTTATATACATAAATATATGCACATTAAACATGCAAGATTATGCGTGTATATCACATTTGTCCAAGAGGTGTGTTTATAATCCCTGAAGCAGGGCGGGGAAGCAGCGGAGGCCACTCCCACTTCTTACTGGAGCACTGGGGACGGTGGGATGGCCACCATGGTGGGATGGCCACCCATCCCACAGTAGCAGTGGCCATTGTGAAGTGAAAGCACCCTGAGCCGTTATGACAGCCTGGGGACAGATGCATGGATCCGTGCTTATATGCACGCACGTTTTTAATATCTTCATTAGTATAAACTCATGCTAGAAAGTTTACAAATAAAGGACTGTGCTAGGCGCTTGAGAAATTTGGTATTGAATAACCAATTGGTGTGCTCTTTACTGGAGAGGGCTATTGGTAGCTGACTTTGGAGGACCAGCCCCCAGTCAGTGCCAGGGTAAGCAAAAAAAACCTATGAAGAAGGCATGAACTAAACTTCTTAGCAAATATTTCTTTCTTTCTTTCTTTCTTTGAGCTAGACTTTTCTGAGAGGAAAAAAAAAAATAAGGAAACACAGATACTTTCTGATAGTAACTTTCTCTTTACTTCATCTTGAAAACAATCCTCTCTGAAAAATCTCCTGCTTCTCTGCATAGTTTCTTAATCAGCTGTTCTCCCAGTGCTCTGTTGGGCAGCTTCTCCCTCTCTCCTCCTCTCTGCCCGGCCACCGCTGTTTCCTATGTCGCTGCTGCTCCTCCCTCGGCCACTGCTGTCTGTCGTCTCTCCTCTCACAGCCAAACTGGAAAAGTATGTTACACTTTCAGGGCCCGACCCTTTCTCAAAACCCAAGATAAGTTGGTAGTTTCTCTTAGGCCAGGGAGCAGCAGTGGCCTTGATGAAGCTCTAAGTGGATGAGGGTTCCTAGACAGAAAATGACATTGGAATTCAAGAGTTAACAATAACAATTAGCTGGACCTCGAGTGGTAGGGAGGATGTGCAGGTCAAAGTTGCTTCAAGCTCTGGCCTTGAATCGTTAAAATATTTGTCTCCAGGGGCAACCAGATAATTGTCTCCAGGGGCAACCAGCCTGCTTTGAGTTTGCTCTGAAGTCTAAAGTTAGCTGTCTGTGTAAAAGGCTGTTTTGTGACTGAGAATTCTGTCAGTCTGAGTAATGTTAATATCCCAGAAATCTTTCTATTCATCAGATTATACAGCTAGGCAGAAATCATCTCCCTGATTATCCACAGCCCAAAAAGTATAAACACTCCACCAAAGGGCTGTGGAAAGAGTCTGCAGCTGTTCTTACTGGGGAAGTAAGCAGTGGTTCCAGGGGAGCTACAGACGGGCACCAGTCACCCTAAGTGGTGACTTGATGAATGCTGGTTGCCTCTGCTGTACATTTCCATGGCCCCATGCAGCTATTTTTTTCTGAGAATACCAAATGTTAGAAATTATTTTATCTTCCACAAGCCTAACAAAAATGTACCTGATACTTAAGAAGAGGAAGATGTGATCATATCAACATACATAGGAAATTTTATCCAAGTGATTTTCTTTGTAATCCCAAACAATTCAAAGATAGCAAGAATCCAGTATGGTAGTTCATACTTGCAATTCCAGAACTTAGGAGGTTGAAGTAGGAGATTTTGAGTTCCAGGCCAGTCTGGACTATATAACATGTCCCAAGCCTGTCAGGGCTACATCATGAGACCCTGTCTCCAAACCAAACCAAACAAAAATACAAACAAAACACTGTACTTACTTTAGAATTTTAAAGAAACAGATATTAATACTTTCTTTTCCTGTTGCTGTGCTAAAGTACTCAATCAAAACGAACTTAAGGGAGAAGGATTTATTTCAGGTTACAGTTTAAAGTACAGTTCATTAAGGCGGGAAAGTCAAAACAGCAGACGCTTAGAGTAGCTAGTCACACTGTGCGTGCAGCCAGAAGAAAGCATCAGAGACATTAGTGCTGCTCAGCTTGCTTTCTCTGCTTTTTATATACAGCCCAGGACCTACTACCTAGAGGATGTTCCCACCTTCAATTAAGAAAGTTCTTTCTACACCAATTAATGTAATCAAGAGAATCCCATATAGGCATGCCAAGAGACCGTTCTCACAAGTGGTTCTAGAGTCTTTCGTGTTGACAAAACCATGATAGCTAGATAATGGATTGAATCGTTTTCAGTGGAAATACACACAGATATAAAAACACCAAAGTGTGTGGTGCCTGAGAGACATTACTGCCTCTGAGAAAGACCATCGCATTGTTAAGTGCTATGTGATGTGATAGGGTGGTGTCACCATTTAAGCACTGCACTGGAATGGCTCTGGACAGGGATTAACTCTGTAGGTGCTACCCTAGAAACCTGGTCTAGCAGCACTCTCCTTGAAGGCCACTAGAAGAGTGGTTGTTAAATTCTGGCATGTGACATGGTCTCCTAGAAGCTAACAGAGATCATTGGAGTCAGCCTTGCTGAAGGTTTATGCTAGATAATTCTGTGATCTTAAAGCATTGACCTCTAGACCAAAGTTCTCATCCACTGTGGATTAGAATCACTGTGGGGGGTGGGCACAATGTGCTTGTCAAAATACAAATTGTTGTGTCCACTATCAGAATTGATGATTCAGTAGGACTGTGGAAAGCCTAAAAATTGGTATTTCCTAGGTAGTTCTGACAGAGTTGGGTGACAAACCACAGTTTAAAAAACCCTGATTTGTACAAATTATTATTCATGCCTTCAACACTGAGATTGGCCTGTCAGAGTTCTAACGAATAGGATACCCAGATTATTCTCCTCCATAGAAATCTTACAAAAATAAAGAAGGATCACAATATTGGGAGACATTTAATTGAATATTTTAAAAGTTGTTGTCAGCTCTACAGCCGACAGTCATTGTAGGCTAGACAGGGAGAAGATAATGGGGGCCGACAGTCATTGTAGGCTAGACAGGGAGAAGATAATGGCGAAGCCCTAGGTGGCTGTGACGTCACACACTTCTCACCCCCTCCCTACCTTATAGATAGTCTGGTCAGATGGCGATACAGAGCTTTCTTTGGCTATAATCAGATTGTGCTTTTACATTTATGGGCATTTAGAATTTGTGATTCACTATGGTTTATGATCACAAACAAAAACATTATGGAACTCTTAAGTGATTAGATAACATAGCACAACTAAGTTGGAAAATACTTCAGTCTGATGAACTGGAAAAAAGATTTGATCTTGATTAAAACAATACCTTTATGATTATTTAGATAATTTTACAAGGCAAAGTATTGCACAGCGAGAAGAGATCAGCATTCTTGGTGCAACCCTCAATGATCTGGCTAAAGAAAAGGAGTGCCTGCAAGCATGCTTGGATAAAAAGTCTGAGAACATTGCATCCCTTGGAGAGAGTTTGGCAATGAAAGTATGTTCGGAGAACTGGTAGACAAGATATGCTTAAATGGAATGTTTAAATATTCAACTGTGGGTTACTTGACTCTGAATAAAAGAATAGGATTTTCTCAGATTTTCCTAGAAAGCCAAAACTTTAAAAGATGAGGTTGAAATGTTCAAGCGAGTTTTAGGAAGCATACATACAAATGTACTAGCTACTGCTTAAAATTTACTTTTCTATCATGACTTAGGGATTTGTGTTTACTGATAGTAACTAAATCAAAATAAAGTAGTAAGAATGATTTTTTTTTTCTTTCAAACATTCTAGGTCTATTACCTTGGAAAGTCATGTGTTCATTCCATTAAAACTGCCTTTGTGATTGTAAACTAGGAACACACTTTTTTGGCTTTATGAGACAGGTTTCACTGTGTAGCCCTGGCCAGCCTGGAACTCAGTATGTAGACCAGGCTGGCCTCCAACTGTAGTTGCCATCTGCAATAGTCCCACTTTGCAGTACCAATCTGTAGGAGCCTGTCTTTGTGGGGTGACAGTCAGATCGGCCGACTTGCCTGGTTCGTCCCTGAGAGGGGGATTGAGAAACGGTAAGGAAAAAAATACTCAGGAAAAGATAGAGACACAGAATGGAGTCAGGAAGGCAATGCAGTGAATACTGAATGTCCCAAGTTTATTCTTCAACATTCTTATATACCCCAAACAAAAAGAGGAAAATGCCCAGAGACTTCTTTATCATGGTACAAGGAAGCAACAGACTTTCTTCCTTAATTCCCCAAACATTTAATAACCACACCTTAGACTAAATCTCTTATTATCTGGCCCTGAGGGTTAAGAATAACCATACCTTAGACCAAGTCTCTTATTTAGAGAAGACATCCTTACAGTAGCCATGCCTTAGAACTTTAGGTCTTATGACTTTAATCTTGGAAGAGTAAGCCTAGTTTTGAACTCTCTGACCTTAAGTCAAGATTAATTGAAGCCTTTTTTATGGACCCTGACAGGCCCCCTTCTAAATTTAATTGATGCCTGTGCTTCTGCCACAGGACAGACGCCTGTGTCTGTCTTAGGTTTCTTCTGTGAACTGCATTATGTTTCCTTTACAAGCATGACTAAGATGCAAGTCCATCTCAAAGTCAAGACATTTAAGGTTTTATGAGACATTCATCCTCTAAAGGGAAAATAATTTGTAAGGCAGCTTTAGAGAGTTGCCAAGCATGGCAACACATGCCTGTAAATCTGGAGAAGTAGAGACAGGAAGGTCTCTGTAAGCTCAAAGAAGGCCTGGTCTACATAGCAAGTTCCAGGCTAGTTAGAGCTATATACACTCTGTCTCAAAAAACCCAAACAAACAAAAAGATAATGTTCTCTGTAGTGACATTTTAGAACTGAACTAACAAATGTCAATGGAAAGTAGAGAGTAAGACATTCCGTAGTTTAATATGGAGAGGCAGAAACAGGCTCATCTGGAGAACTCTACATTAGAGTAAGCAAGGTAATTTCCCCCTCTGGCAATCTTAGCTTTTAGCTTAAAGGTTTTCTTTTTATTTATGCATGTATCTGTGTTTGTGTGTGAGTATATGCAAGTGTGTATGGGTACCCAAGGAAGCCAGAGCAGTATGTTGGACTCCCTAGAACTGGAGTTACAGACACAGGTGCTAGAACCCAACTCTGGCCCTGGAAGCACAGCAAGTGCTCTTAATTGTTGGGCCAGCCCCGGTGACTGTATGTTTTTGTTTGTTTGTTTGGTTGGTTGGTTTTGGTTTTCAAGACAGTCCTGGCTGTCCTAGAAGTCACTTTGTAGACCAGGCTGGCCTCAAATTCACAGAGAGCCACCTGCCTCTGCGTTCAGAGTGCTGGACTCCCACATGCTGGGGTGAAAGGTGTGAGCCATCACCACCCAGCAGTAATTCATGTTTTAAGAAATGTTTTGCTAATTGGTATCTATTAATTTTAGAAAACAGAGTAGCAAGCTCATAGACTTTTGAGTAAGAAAAGTCAGAATTGGAAAGTTTTATTCAGTTTTTTTTCTACACCTGTGTTTTAGCAGTTCACATGAATGTATACCCATCACTGGAAGAACATACTACATTTTCTTTCTTTTTTTAGGAATATTAAATTTTCTAAATGTTGTTAGGTTTGAAGAATGCTAGTATTAGGGTTCTACTAAAAATATTGTCTGAGAGAATATATTACTGGATTCTAGTCAATAAGTTTTGCCTTGGATATTTTATAATGTTCCTATAGAATCTCACTCTTTTAAAATCCTTTTCACAAAGAAAAGGATATAAACCCTGTTTAAGAGTTTAAAAGCATATCCATGCTTAATCAAGTAATGATTTTCAAGGCACTAGTATGTTCAGGGAATTCATTTTAAAAAAGGAAGACATCATAACTTACTTAAAGCCTTATAAGCTGCCTTTTTTTACTTTTTAGAAATTGAAATTGTGTGTGTGATGTATGTGTGTACCTTAGGTTTTCAGTCTCTTACTGAACCCAAAGTGACCAATTTGGCTAGAGTTGCGGTTGACAAGCCTTAGGGATCCCCATGTTTCCACACCCCAGTGCTGGGATCATAGGTGTGCACCGTATGTGGCTGCTCGAGATACAACTGAGGTCCTCATGCTTGTACAACAAGCACTTTACAGAGTGATCCCCACATCCTCCATCTTAAGGCGTGTGTGTGTGCGTGCGTGTGGGCGTGCGTGCGTGCGTACGTGTGTGTGTGCGTGCGTGTGCGTGTGTGCGTGTGTGTGTGCGTGCGTGTGCGTGTGTGTGCGTGCGTGCGTGCGTGTGTGTGTGCGTGTGTGCGTGCGTGCGTGCGTGCGTGCGTGTGTGCGTGTGTGTGTGCGTGGTCTTCTTCTGTGAGCTTGTTCTTCGGGGGATGAATTGTTTTTGTTAATGGGTGCTTTAAGCATACTCTGGCCAAGTATATGTCACGAGTCTTCCTCACTCTATTGAGGAGCAGGAGTTAGAAGTACTCTAGCGGGGCACATGAATAAATGAAGGTAGTGCACGCTCACTCAAGTCTTAAAGGTGATATATTCAAATCCATTTCAGGCTTCACTGATTCCACTATTTCTGGGGTTTTTTTTTCCACAACAGCTCTGAAATATATTGAGAGAGATGTTAGGAGTTAATATTGCTAATAGAATTAATATACTCAGCTATTTTTTCTAAGAAATAAATGTAGGGTTGAGGCTAGGGAAGAGTACACCAATTGGTTATCCAATACCAAATGTCAGCCCTGATAACATCCATGCACATAACATTATAGAGACTTAGCAGTTAGTATTTATGTGTTTAGGAATATATGTGTGTACACATGTACATACACATACATGCTTGTGACAACAATAAATAAAAAAGCGCCCGAATTTGAAAGAGAGCCATGGGAGAGCTTGGAGTGAGGAAAGGAAAGGAGAAAATGGCACAATTATATCGTATTGTATTATAATCTCAAAAATAAAGTAAATAGTTATAAAGAAACAGATTTAGTTACATATTATCACTTTTCCAAGTTTTATGACATGCGGAACATGTGAGAGTGAGTTAGTACTATTTAGTATGTAATATTTTATTGCCAAACCATGGGGGTATGGAGTCGTACATAGCTGGATGATTACATAAACTTTTAACACAGTATTAGTTACATGATCTCATCAATACATTAACTTTATCCAGCACAAATGCACACACTGAATATAGGCTTTAAAGTGTAGAGAAGAACGTGACTAATTTTTAATTAGCCAAATGAAATTAGCCAATGAAAATTACAGCGGGGGGCAGTTTCTTTTTATTCAGCTTTGGTGGAAATGATTTTAAATAATTTTAATCTAATATTTGTATTAATTTTAAGGAAAAGACCATTTCAGGCATGAAGAATATCATTGCTGAGATGGAACAGGCATCAAGGTAAATCATTCAAAAATACTTGAGCTCTTACTGGAGGCAAAATGCTATTTGCGTGTGATACAAGGACACAGAAAATCCAGGGGCTTATGTATCAGTAACTGATAATCAACAGAGGCTTAGGTGGCTTGGGAAGCAGAGGAGAGGGTTATGTTCACCTGCTGAAATAAGGGGCGGGGCTTCTACAGCAGAAAGAATAGTAAAGAACCACAGCGTGTTCAGAAGCTTCTTGAACTACAGGTGAGTGAGTATTGTTGGAGCCTCGAGTATAAGAGAAGCGAAGGAGGGGGCTGGAGAATCGGCTCAGCTGTTACAAACACACTGTGCTCTTGCAGAGGACCCAAGTTCAGTTCCCAGAATGCACATGGTGGCCCAGGCAACCCCAGTCTTCTGACCTGCAGCAGGCACGCGTGTGGTCCGTACAGACACACACTCATACACAGGGAATTTAATCAGTCTTGGGGAGAAAGAAGAAGAGAAGGAAGGAGAAACCAAATGTGTGAAAAGACCTGTACCATACACAAACCAGTCTTGTTTTTGGGTTTTTTTTTTTTTTTATAGATATAAAGCTGTTGGCCAGTTATCGGCTAGCTCTGTCTTAAATATTAACCCATTTCTATTAATCTAAGTGTTTCCACGTGGTCTCACCTTACCGGAGAGAGGGCCCGTGTTCTGCTCTCTCTGTCCTCCATCTTGAATCTCGAGTCTTGGTTTTCTTCCTTTGGATAGTAAAGACTATTAAAAATTTTGTTGGATTGTCTAGGAAGACAATCCTAGAAGTAAATTGGGGGTTAGAAGACATAAGGGGGACAGAAGGAATGAGTTCTTTATGATAAGGGACTTTAGGGAAATGTCAGGTTTCCAGGTCCTCAGTGCTTATGACAGGAGGCGTGTTCGGAGAGAGGAGTTTGCCTCTGAGTCTGAAGAGCCCTTGAGACCTTGTGCACATGTTCAGGAAGCATGAGTCTGAGATGTTAACAAGGGGACTAATCGTGGACAGTGATCCCGTGGTACACATGGTGCTGGGAACGAAGTTGGGCAGGTTCTCTAGAGGGACAGAACCAAGCAGAGGCTGAGTGTTCCATCGGGGACTCTCTGCAAGCTACAGGGGTATAGCAAGTGCCCTGTCCAAAATGCAGGACGCCTGAGCAGCCTGAGACCAGAGAGGGCTGCTGCTGTTCATTCCACATGGAATGACCCAGGAAGTTGGAGTCTGTGACAGCTGCACTCAGGAAGAACGGCAGGGAGCCAACATTTTTTTCCCCTGGAAGAGTCATTTAGAGAGTGCTGCCCACTTTTAGGAAGAGTCTTCCCCAGACCATCATAGACATGCCCAGAGGTATGAATCAACCATCCTTAGTACTTTAACTCCTTTAGCCTGTTGACTCAGGAACCCAAAGTGGCCAGGGGATGCCTTGCCCTCTAGATCAGTGGAATAGTTCATACACCTCCTGGATGAAATACTCTCCCCTTCCTGGAGCTAACGCTTGTTAGGCCAACAGAAGGTATGCTTGTGGGGTAGGTAGCGGGCACTCTTGTAGTGGGTCAGTAGGGGTAATGGTGAGTGGTACTGTTCTCCTTTGCATGGGTCCTGACTAGAGGGAAATAGTACTATATATTGGACACTGATTCAGAACATATGCAGCCTTCTGGAAAGCCCTACTCTAGCCACACATTTGTTGTTATAAGTCCATCTTTCAAAGAGCCTTGCACTGTTCTCTCAAGCCGGCTGCTTTTGGATGATTGGGTACAAGGCAAGACCAGTGGATCCCATGAGCATATTGGATATCTTTGGCTATGAAGTGAGTTTTCTGGGCAGAAGCATTGCTATGTGGAATACCACAGAAGAGGATATGGCATTTTGTAAGCACTATATGCAGGAAAAGTAACTCTATAACCAGAATAAATAGCTGCTTGAACAGGACGAAATGTATCCTCTCCCTGCTGTGATTGTTCCAACATAGTAAGAGCCGGCTCTAGTTACCAGCAAGCCCATGAAGGAAAGTCTTACTTACATTCTATTACATGTTGGAAGTTTTGAGATGCAGGGTACATCACTGACTTGTGTGTACTTAGTACACTTTTCATAGTGAAACTGTAAATGTGGTCTTTGTAGTGGTTCCTTTAAGTGTAAATGTTTTAAACCTCTTCAGTTGTTTTCATTCTAACTGTCCATCTTCTGTCTTGTGAGAATTTGTTACTCTGCTTCAGTAAAATATCTCTTCTTATGTACTGTTTGATTTGTGGAATAGACAGTCTACTGAAGCCCTAATTATGTGTGAACAAGATATTTCCAGAATGCGCCGGCAGTTGGATGAGACAAATGACGAGCTGGCTCAGATTGCCAGGGAAAGGGACATCTTGGCTCATGAAAACGACACCCTTCAAGAGCAGTTTAGCAAAGCCAAACAAGAGAACCAGGTATGTTTGTCCTCAGAGTCTTCCTCTCAAAGAAAAGCTTCTTCTGAGGCACAGCCCTCATTTCATCTTGTGGAAAAGCAGACTGCAACTAGCAATTCTTGTTTTTTACTTTTATAACAGATTATGTTATATAATTTCTAGATGAAATTCTCAGACATAAAGTATTAGATATTAAAGAGAAAGGAATGGGAATATAATGGATTTGTTTTAAACCTTAGAAAAACTTCTGTACCAAAGGGTAAGTATTTGAATTAAACAGAACAAATGAGGATTAAAAACTGAGAAATTTTAATATAGGGACATATTTATAGTGGACTACATACTACCATGTTTAAATATTATGTATGGATTATGGCAAATTTTTTAGACCTTTTTAGAACTGTGATACTTTTTAGGGAAATTCTACTTTTTACTCTGTAAGCCAATATATTTCAGTCTGATAGTCTTTATTTCTAATAGCATTATTTTAATTTGAACATGAAAACATTCCATTTTTGAAAAGATTGAAAGAGGCTGGTGATGTTTCCCAGTCAGTAGGGAGCTTGTCAAGAGACAGTGAATCCCTGAGTTTGATCCCGTAACTATACAAAAGCAGGTGTGGTGCTGGGTGCCCCCAGTCCCTGCACATTGGAGGTGGAAGCAGGAAGACCCTAAGGCCAAGCCTATCCTTGGCTACAAACCAGTGTGAGGTCAGTCTGGCACATGTGAGTTACAGATACTATTGGCATGTAATATGGATTTCTGCTTATTTCATAGAAATTCAAAATTGTAGTACTGTTTGTCTTAGTTACTGTTCTATTGCTGGGAGGAAACACCATGGCCAAGGCAGCTTCTGAAAGGAAGTATTCAATTGGGGCCTTTCTTATGGTTTCAGAGGGTTATTAGCCCACGGTCATCATGGCGGTGACAGGCAGGTAGGCACGGTGTTGGAGAAGTAGCTCAGAGCTTACACCCTGACCCACAGCTCGCAGGAAGAGAGAGTGAGACAGGGCTTGGCTGGGGCTTTTGACACCTAAAATCTCACCGCCACTGACATGCCTTCTACAACAAGGCACACCTATGCCAACGAGGCCAGACCCCTGACCTTCCCAAGCAGCTCTACTAAGTAGGGATCGGGCATCAAACACACCAGCCTACGGGAGCCGTTGTCATCCAAACTGCCACACTGCTTTTACATATACTTTTAAAATGCTGGGGTAAAGACTGTGTGTGCTGCTTTATATCATGCCTTTTTAATGTGAGGAGGCAGTAGAACCAGGCATTTAAGACTCATGTGGGGTTGGCTGTCATTGCTAGATAGTACTATCATGTAGTTTAAATTCTAACAATCTTATAATTTGCAAAAATGGGTGGTAAATTAAGCATTTACTATGGTGTCCAAAATGCCACTTAATAGCTTGCCATGATATAAATTTCCCTGCTGTGTGACACTGTAATGATTGGCCACCACAAGAAAACTGGCATCGTAAGAGTTTACATGTGGCTGAGTGGTGGTGGCACATGCCTTTATTCCCAGTACCCAGGAAGCAGAGGCAAGCATATCTCTGTGAGTTCAAGGCTAGCCTGGTTTACAGAGTGAGTTCCAGGACAGCCAAGGCTACACAGAGAAACCCTGTCTCTCAAAACAAACACCAAAAGTTTACATGTGTTCCAGGGTAGTTTTCACCTTCTTTGGGGTCATTTAAGAAAGGTCTTTCTATAAACTACCAGGTAAGAAATAGCATTGTAGAAAATTTGGAAAATGGAAACCTTAGAAAATTTTATTCTTAATATCACATCTTTTAACAAAAATATAAGTTCATTATAGAACTTTTTTTTCAAAAGAAGGAAAAAGAAGTATCTCCGTGTGTCCTTACCATCTAATTACTATTATATTAGCATTTAACATGTACTTTTACTGATTTCATAGCAATTTACAATTTTAAGCATTGTAAGTAGAATGTTTTATATTTTAAATACAGAGAATGTCTTTCTTGTCTTTATGAATATTTGAAAATGCCTCAATGTATCTCTATGATAATGTTTCAGAGAGCTTCATGTAAAACAATTTTTACAGTAAACAGTACACAGAACTACCTATTTCTTAGCACAATTGAGGCTTTAAGTCTTCACTAACTTGGTAGACACATTGTCTTAATTAGCGTATCTTTGGTTACTAGTGAAGTTTATTTTAGTGTCACCAACTCATGTTCCCTTTTGATGACTTGTCTGTCTGGGTCCTTTGCCTGTTTTCTCTTGGACTTCTGTTTACTTTACCACTCCCATGTAAGTTTTTATATGGTTGTTACATTAATTTATATAATCACCTGTTTCAAATATTTTAGATGTTTTACATATAGGTATTTTTATTTATTATAGTCAGATATAGCTATCTTTTTTCCACAGGCACTGTCCAAAAAATTGAATGATACTCATAATGAGCTCAATGATATAAAACAGAAGGTCCAGGATACGAATTTGGAGGTTAACAAGCTGAAGAATATATTAAAGTCAGAGGTACATATGCACATGTTTCCTTGCTCATGATACCTACAAGTTTTCAAAAGACTTAATTTAGTGGTCAATTACGTTCATCAGGAGAGTTAATCAAGTCTTTCTTCAAGCAAATATTGTAGTTTTGGCTGTGGCAGATTAACTGTATTAATTTAGAATCACTTGTCTGTCCCAAAAGATAGTTCAAGAATATGTACCTTTCAGTTTGCTGAATTCAGAGTAAACACCCCAGGCAAAGGGATTCTTCCTGACTGAAGAGGAAGGGGGCATAAAGCACTATACTTTCTGTTACAAACTGACAAACATGCTTCTTCCTGATTGTTTGACAGGGCAGGATGGGCCACACTGTTACTAGACCGCGCATGTGTGTGTGTGTGTGAGTGTGTGTGTGTGTGAGTGTGTGAGTGTGTGTGAGTGTGTGCGTGTGTGTGAGTTTATCTGTGTGTGTGTGTGAGAGAGTGTTGTGTGTGAGTGTGTGTGAGTATGTGTGAATATGAGTATCTGTGTGTGTGAATGTGTGGGTGTGAGTGAGTGTGTGTGTGAGTGAGTGTGTGAGTGAGTGAGTGTGTGAGTGTGTGTGTGAGAGTATGTGTGTGAGTGTGAGTGAGTGTGTGAGTATGTGTGTGAGTGTGAGTATGTGTGTGAGTGTGTGTGAGTGTGTGAGTGTGTGTGAGTTTATCTGTGTGTGTGTGAATGTGTGTGAGTGAGTGTGTGTGTGTGAATGTGAATGTGTGAGTGTGAGTGAGTGTGTGTGTGTGCCTGTAGAGGCTAGAGCTCCCTGGAACTACAGCTATGAGAAGTTGTGAACTGCCTAGCAGGGTTTCTGGGAACCAAACCTGGGTCTTTTACAAGAGCAATATAAGCCCTTAGCTGCTGAGCCATCTCTCCAGCCCCTAAGGTACTATTTTGAAGTAGACAATAATGGCTTTTTAACATAGTATATTGTTTATGGAACTGAATTTTCACTATAGAAAGCAGATCCTATTTAAACTAATTATTTATGATATCACTTTGAAGTTGTAAAAAATCTGGTTCCCACAAGTGGTAGATGCAGCTCAAAGGTAAAGTACTTGCCTAGTGTGTACAAGGCCCTAGATTCAGTGCCTACCACTGCCAGAACAATCTAGTTCTATACTGTATGTTCCACATGTATATATTATTAGCACACATTTGACAGTTTACTTCTGAGCAGTTTCTAACAACTTAATAGAAGGAAGCTAAAAAGAGATTACAGTCTGCGACCAAGAAAATTAAGAGTGGAAGACATGGCTTGGTGGTAAAGAGCATTGTTTTTTTTTTTTTTTTTTTTTTTTTTTTAAGATTTATTTATTAATTACTTGTACAGTATTCTGCCTACATGTATCCCTGTAGGCCAGAAGAGGGCACCAGATCTCATTACAGATGGTTGTGAGCTACCATGTGGTTGTTGGGAATTGAACTCAGAACCTGTGGAAGAGCAGTCAGTGCTCTTAAACTCTGAGCCATCTCCCCAGTCCCCCAGTAAAGAGCATTCTTACAGAGGAACAGAGTTCAGTGCCCAGAACCCAAGTCAATTCCAGGGGACCAAAAACCTTCAGTCTCCAAGGGTACCAGGACTCAATGTGCATATGCACTCCCCACCACATCGTTAAAATAATAACAATAAATCTTATCAGAAGTTGAAACTGAAGATATAAGAGAATGCAGAAATTCTGTGGCTAGAACAGCTCAATCGAGTAGATGGGAGCAAGGGAACGCTGGTGAGGGTGTTAGCAGCTCAGAGCAGCAGGAATCAGTAAATGGTCATGGGGGGAAGATTCTAAAGAGAAGGTCCTAACGATGATAACACTGCCCTGAGTGGGTAACTGGGAAGAGGTGGGATCGTACCTGTTTATGCTCCTAGTAGGGTGACTCTAGGTTAGGAGGGTAAGGAGGGTGTCTTCAAGGTTATGTTGCAAGGGACTCCCCAGGGGCTCAGACAACAGTGTTCCATATGCACTTGAGTCACTTCTAAAGTTTTAAAGTAATACCCAAGACTTGCTCTTTAGGAATCTGAGAACCGACAAATAATGGAACAACTCCGAAAAGCCAACGAAGATGCTGAGAACTGGGAAAATAAAGCCCGCCAATCCGAGGCAGATAACAATACCCTCAAATTGGAACTCATCACCGCTGAAGCAGAGGGCAACAGATTAAAAGAAAAAGTTGATGCCCTTAACAGAGAGGTTGAGCAAGTAAGTTTGTAGAAATGTGCTTACAGTACATCCTGTATCATAGTTAAGTGAGCTTTTCATAAGTTTAATATATTGACAGTTTATATAAATGCACTGTAAGTTATTGCCTCTTATTCTCCTATCCACCTTGGTTTTCTTAGGTACACACAACCAGAATAATCATGTTTTTTTTTTTCTTAAATTGGGGACTGTTTCAAACAAAAAGAACAAATTTTTGAAAAATAGTAAAAAAAAGATCCATCCCTGTCCCACAGATGCAACAACATTAGCATGTTGCCACATTCACTTCTGTGCCTTTGTTTAAAGAAACAGAAGACCAGAGGCGGCAGGAGCAGCGGCTCAGTGCTTAAGAGCTCTTGCTGATCTCCCATGGGACCTGAGGTCCATTCCCAGGAGCCACATGCAGTGGCTCCTACCACCTGTAATTCCTCTGTGGATACGAGCACTCGTGTGACACACACACACACACACACACACACACACACACACAGAAACCAAACATTAAAACTACAGCTCTTCACCCTGATAGTGGGTGCATATAAACGTCACGTGATTCTAGCGGCTTTTCGTGAGTTCACACTCTCTCTGTGCACCTCCCTTTTGCTTTCTATGTTTACGTGCACATGTCACATGTGTGGCGGCTGGGGTTGACATATGGCATCTTCCACAATCATTTTCATTTTCTACCTCATTTGTACTTTGAATTATATGTGGGTATGTGTGTGGGTGCATGGGGGAGAAAGGGAGAAAGAGATGTTAGTGTGTGTTAGTGCGGTGCTGTGGACATGAGAAGAGCATGTTGGGTGCGCTGGGATTGGAGTTACAGATGGTCATTAGCAGCCTGACTTAGGTGCTGGAGGTCAGCCGTCTGTCTGTGCCATCATAGCGTATGTTTTCTTAATTGTGAGTCGTCTCTCCAGTTACGTCTCTGTCCGTATTTATTAGGGCTATGGATTTGAGTCTGTGTTCAGGCTAGCACGTCTGAAGGCCTGACTTCATCGCTGGCACTACAAATAATTTTATTTAAGTGATAAAATCTACTACATACCGATTTACAACTAGCCCTTTTAAGTGTGTAACAATTTGAAAAATATATCTGCTTTGTTGCATGCCTCAAACAGTAGCATATATTCATTGTATAAATATTTTCTTGCTTAAATTATTCCCATATTAAGGGGAATTCAATTTCCCCCCTTTCTGCAGCAAACATTCTTTTTATTTCTCTTGGCTGTGTTTCTTTAGGCTTATGTCTGGAAGGAAGTACTGAATCTAAGACACCCACGATTTTGCTTAATTTATCAAATCGCCTTCTAAAAGTTTACTCTTGCCAGAAACCATAGGTTGTCATTTGCTCTAACACTATTTTCAATAATATCAGTCTTTAAATTTTTCCACAGTTGTGTTTTTTTTCCCTAGATAATAGGTGAAATTGAGTCTTTTATGCTTAAAAACAAAAACAAACAAAAAACAAAATCAACAACAAAAAAACTATAGCCCTGGAAAGATGTCTCAGCAGTTAAAAGGACTGCCTGCTCTTCCAGAGAGCCTAGGTTCAATTCCCAGCACCCACATGGCAGCTCACAACTGTCTGTAGCTCCAGTTCCAGGGGATCCAGTACCCTCATACAGACAGATCTATAGGCAAAGCCACCAATATACACAAAATAAAAATAAGTAAATTCTATTAAGAAACAAACTATATCTAAATTTTTTAATTAAATGAAGAGTCTACCCTCTAACACCACAAAAAATGCACAAAACTTTCAGAAGCAACAGTATACATTAGAAATTAATTTGAATTTTTCCTTCCATATATTATTAGCAAAGTCTTTTTAAAAAAATAAGCTGATTTTGTGCTAAACAGGGTTGTGTTTTCTAAAAATACATTTAATGGACACGAGGACCTCCTTGATGAACTACTTCCAAATATGGCTCAAATGTTTGAGGCCTTTCCTTCTGCAGGAGTAAAGCCAGCACTAAAGTGAGGGAGTTGGGAGTTCCCAGAGGAAAGCTGACACTTGCTAGTTCGGTTCCTACAGCACATGTCTGATGAAGGAGCAAGTTGTAGGGTTTAATGTTTCTGACTACTTACAGGTCCTCTTAGATGGGGTTTCTGTTAGATTTCTTTTGCATGGATTTTTCCTTTTAAACATTTTAAAAAATTTTTTGTGCATGAGTGTTTGCCTGGGTGTATGTGTACATGGGGCCCTTGCAGGCCGAAAGAGGGCTTCTGATTCTCTGGAACAAATTACAGATGATTGGGAACAGCCTTGTGGGTGCTAGCAAGAGCAGGAAGTACTCTCAATAATGGAGCAATCTCTCCAGCCCATTGAATGAATTTTTCTTAAATCTGTATATATTTTTCTATTCAATTGTTTATGTTTGAAGATTTAACAGTTAATTTGTCTTTTCATTTACTTGAAAGATAAGATGTTAAACTCAAATGCACTTAGAATTGTTACTAATCTTTTCCATATTATTTATGATCTTATGTTTTCTAAGGAATTCCTTAGTGTTCTATGACCTGGAAGAGATTTTCCCTTGTTTTTATTTAAATTTATATAGATAGAGGTTGGGACAGATAGAAGAAAGGAAGGCTAGAGAAAAGGTGGGTTACCAAAGTGCAATCAGGGGAAGGGAATGCTTATAACATTCCTTACTATTCTAGGCCACATCAGTGATTGACTAGTGGGTTTGATATCAGAAATTAATATCAAAGGAGACACAACTGTTGATAACCTGATTTGATTTGTGTAGGTTGTGTGCATGTCTTATAGTCCATCAATATGATGTGTCGATTTAAAAACAAAAATTATCCTAAAAATGTTCTGTCTCTCCCCTCTTTATGTTGTTTCCTGAGCTGTAAGGGAAGGGTGTGATGTATATGTCTCAGTTATGGCTAAGCACTCCAGACAGCTATTCTCTGCCCTCTGACTGCCACCCACTGCAGAGGGCTGAAAGCTGCACGCATCTGTGGGTACAGAGAGACATATTTAGAAGGCAGCTTGATTCTGTGTCCATTTAGCAAAGTAATAGGGTCACCCCTAGAGAGACCATGGTCTCTCTAGCCATGGCTTCTGTCATTCTTTTTCTTTGAGACAGGATCTCGGTGTATAGCTCAAGCTGACCTTGAACACGTGAAATTCCTGCTTATGCCTCCAAGGTTATAGGCACCACCACACCAGGCTTGTAACCGTACACATTTTCAAGGCATTGCTTTTTGTAATACCTTTATTGAGAGTGATACCTGTCATACAGTTCTCCTATTTGAAATCATATTCACTAGTATTTGGAATATTGACAGTTATGTAAAAACAAACACCTTGAACATTTTCATCACCCTTAAAATACATAATGTACCCATTAGTTACTACCGCCACCAGCTACCCCAGTTTCTGTCATGTCTTTGATCCATATTGGGTTAAATTTTACACGTGGTATCAAATATAGTTTTGCATCCCCAAAAGAAAAATCCTACTTGGTCGTTATGTATAATAATAATAATAATAATTACTATTATTATTATTATTATTTTTGGTGTTGTATTTGGTTTTCTAGTAATTTTTGTTCGTTTCTTTTTTTTTTTCTTCTTCTTCTTCTTATAACAACCTGTATGGTCTTAGTATCCAAGTGATACTGATTTTATGTAATAACTTGGAAATGTTCCTTTTGCTTCTACTTTTTGTAAGAGCTTGTGTATAATTGGAATCAATTCTTTAAAGATAGATTCAAAGCTAAATTCATCTGAACTTATTCTTTGTGGAAATTTTAAAAATTTCTTGTCAGATTCTTTTTGTTATAGGCCTGTTCTGTTTCTCTTTATTAATTTTTATAGTTTATACTTTTTAGAAAATTTCCAATGTCATTAAACTTAATTTAATGGCATAGTATATCTTTATAATCCTTTTATTTAATAAGTTGCACTCATGGTTACTTGGCTTCATCAAATTGAAACTATCCTTGACCATTATTTACTCAAGTGTATTTTTCCCCTTGCCTTTTCTCTGAGATTCTGGAATTTAAAGTACGAGTGTGTGGGTCACTTAATAATATTCCACAGATTATGAAGGCTCTGCATATTTTCCAAGTCTTTTATTCTTTGTATTTTTTTGTATAGTTGCTATTTTTGTGTGTCGTAAGTGTGCTGTGTGGTAAATACAGATGAACACATTTATCTTTATACAGAGTCATAATTCATTGAATAACAATGCATTCACAATTCAGTTTTATTACACATCCAAGTCAGTTTTATTAATTGCTATTTGCCCAGTAATACCAATTTGCTTGATAGTTAGCTGACGGCAGCCATAGGCTCTTTATTCCATTCTTACATACTAATAATTAATTAGTCCTTTACACTTCATATATTTATGTGCATAGGTTATAGAATGTCCAAAAAGAGCTTAAACCCCTGTAGAGCCCAGGAAATCTGACTTGAGATGGTTGTAGACAACGACACAGGTGTGGGGACCAGAAAGGATCTGAGTCCGCGGGGCGGGGCGGGGCGGGGCGGGGCGGGGCAGGGCAGGGACAGGAGCTCTTTGCTTTGGCAGTTTTCTGCTACAAGACTCATGAGAAATCACTATAAGAGGACCTTTCAGGGCTTTTTCTGAAGGTCCAGGTATGGTTCCGTGTGCTTTGCTTGATAAGCTCAAGAGTCTGGTATTTCTGATAGGAGTTGGTATATTTTCTGGCATCATTATTTATTGCCATGATCCTTGGAGCTCACTGGCCAGCCAGTTTAGCTGAATTGGTGAGCTCCAGGTCCAGTGAGAGACCTCATCTCACAAAATGCCGTGGAAAATGACTGGGAAATACACTGGATGTTGACCTCTGCCCTCCACACCTATGAATACACACACACACACACACACACACACACACACACGCACACACACACACACACACGGGGGGGGGGGAGGGAGAAGGAGGGAGAGAGAGAGGGAGGGAGACGGATGAAGAGGATGAAGGGGACCTTGAAGTGTGGTCAAATAACATGCGCCAGAAACAGTTTTTAGTGCTTCCTGCGTGTAAAAGCACGTGCTAAAGAGCACGCAGTCTTTGCCTCCGGTTGTGTTATCTTCACGTTATAGCAAACAAACACTTGTCTGTAGGTGGCACTGCACTTGCGTAAGCTCCGTGCTGGGGGAAAGGTGTGCGGTGTGGGATTGTTTTGAACATTTGAAAGCATTTATGTAACTTGAATCTCATGGCTTTTAAAATATGCTTTTTCCCATAATTAGTTGTGCTTAAGTTGTACTTGCTCAAGAGCTGTTTCTCTCAGAAGTATTAGTGTTAGAAAATTATCAGTCCTCATTTATGATAGTGTGACTGATATAAACATGCCAGTCAAGAACTGGAAAACTTCTCCGAATGTGGCGGTGGCTATCATTTTGTCTTTGGCAGCAGGGTTAGTGTTGTAGACCATGTAAACTGTTCGGGCACAGAGGCAACTGTAGGCCAAACTGTATGTATTGCACTGGCATTGAACCTTCAAATATTTTAATAGGAAATAGTTTTATCCTGCTCTTAGGATTTGTTAAGGAAACCTAAAGCCTCAGTTTACCTCCCACAGAACATTCTGTGTAGCTCATCAGCACCCATGTCTTCTAAGGTCTTCTGCTCTAGTGTGGAACGGTTTGCCCCATTGTGTTGCCCATGTTGCCTGAAATATTTCCATCTCTGTTCTTACAGCACTTAAATGCAGAGCGCTCCTACAAGTCCCAGATCGCAACTTTGCACAAGTCTCTTGTGAAGATGGAGGAAGAGCTTCAGAAGGTTCAGTTTGAAAAGGTGTCTGCACTTGCAGACCTATCCTCCACGAGGGAGCTCTGCATTAAACTGGACTCAAGCAAAGAACTTCTTAATCGACAGCTGGTTGCCAAAGATCAGGAAATAGAAATGGTATGTAATAGATTGAGAATTGCTGTTACTTTAACATTATTACAGTTTTGAAAAAGGGATGTGTAAAATACTATGTCAAATGTTTATATGCCTTTTAGCTTTAAATTCTGGGTTTGTTGTTGTTTTTGTTTTTCAAGACAGGGTTTCTCTGTAGCTTTGGAGCCTGTCCTGGAAGTAGCTCTTGTACACCATGCTGGTCTCGAACTCACAGAGATCTGTCTGCCTCGGCCTCCCGAGTGCTATGATTAAAGGCATGCACCACCGCTGCCTGGCTAAATTCTGTTTTTATTATGCTTTTTAAACTTTATTTTTAAAGTTTAAAAGTTTAGTTTATGAGAGCTGTGTCCTAAAGAATTCAAGACCATAAAATCCCCAAAATGTTCCTCTCAACTTGTAGTTTGCAGTTGTGTTTAGCCAGAGTTATAAAACACATTGACAGAGCTATGAGCCAAGAATCACAGCCTCATTCAGCTAAATTATAACCTTAATGATAGCCTCTTCAGCTAAATTCATCTGATAAGTAGATGAGCTCTTTTAAGTTGTAATGCAGTTGATTGTATCTACTTTGTTCTTACACTAGGGGTATTGAAACCATGCAGGCCCATACTCTCCTAGACCTCCAGACATTGGCATTTAAGTGTGAGATGAGTAGAGAAATGGGAGGCTTCCATAAGGAATCACGGCTGAACTTGGGGAGATGGGGCATCCCACACAGGCGATGGTAGAGCGGCCCGTGTAGGTTCTTGGATGAAAATAAGCACTTTTTAGTGACCAGGGTGATGTGTCTAAGTAGAGCTGGCTGGAAACGAGCCTGGAGAGGTGGGACCCAGCTCTCAGTGTGCAGAGGATGCTTAGGGCAACTGAAATATTAACAGATCTTGGTCACCTTGGTATTGGTTATTAGTAAACCTTACTGAATTTCTTATTTTGTTAATCTACCCTTTATGATGCATTTGAGAACCATGTGTCTAGCTTATTTTAAAAGAATCTACTATTAATCTTTTAGTGAAGTGCCATCTGCCCAAATCCTCACTCATTCTTGATTATTTTTTATTTCACCATCAACTTTTTAATGAGTAATTTGGTACCGTAAGACTTAAAATATAGTAACCTTTCATTTAAAAATTTTACTTGATGTTTTCTCATTGGAAAAGTGTAGTGAGATAGTCCTTCTGTAGCATTGACCACACCCATTGGGGGGTGGAGCCATGGGCGGAAGTGACCTGTGAAAGGAGGTCGGAGGGGGCCAAGTAAGGCCCTCTCTTGCTGGCGTGACTCAGACAGGAGAGGATCTGGTTGAATTTCCTGGTGTTCATCTGTCTAGGTTGTAAGTTATTTCTCCCTGAATAAACATCTATTCGGCCTATTTGTTTATCCTGATCCTTATTTACCGCGTTAGAAAAGCCTTAGCGTGTTACTGCAACAATTGAAGTATCGGTAGATATACAATCCCATAGCTTATAAAAAAATAGAATGTCACTTGCAAGTAGAGTGTGGTCCTTTAGTAGTCATTTTAAAGTTTTAACCACAGACCTTAGCAGAACTCTGTATAAAGCTTGCTAATAATTTAATTTTCAAAATACTTACTGTAAGTTTTGTAGCTGCTTCTTCCCACAGCACTTTTGACATTAAGTGCTGTAACATTGAGCTATTTGTGTGTGTCTTTGTCTCTTTAGTAAGCTATGTTGTCATATGCCAGTATTGTCGTTTTGCTTTTGTTTTCTTCAGTACATTGAGATTTTAGCTTGAATGAGAGTGGTCACTCTCATGTTCCGGTGCTTTCAAGACTGTTTGGAATGGTTTAGGAGGTATCACCTTTCTGGAGAAAGTGTGTCATTTGGGGTGGGCTTTGATGAGTTAAAAGTCCATGCCGTTCCCAGTTAGCAGTCTCTGCCTCGTACTTGTGAATAAGGATGCGAGCTCTCAGCTCCTGCTCCAGGCCCATGTGTGTCTGCATGCTGCCATGTTCCCTACCATGATGGTCATGGACTTTAACCTCTGAACTGTAAGCCCCCAATAAACATCGCCTCCTATAATATGCCTTGGTCATTGTATCTTATCATAGAAACAGAAGGTAACTAAGACAGTTTATGATTTGAAGGTGATAGATTTGCACCTAATTTAATAAATTATACAACAAGTACCCACTACCTAGTTTCCTTAATGATTACGTCTTGCAAAACTGTAGCCTGATAGGATTATAGGATTAACACTGATTCAGGTGAAAACAAGAGACTTTCTATTGCAGAGTCTGTCCTATTTCCCTGTTGTGGGTTTACGTAGTTGTCTGCTATATCGGTTTACGTAGTTCTCTACTGTATCAGGTTTACGTAGTTCTCTACTGTATCAGGTTTACGTAGTTCTCTACTGTATCGGGTTTACGTAGTTCTGTACTGTATCGGGTTTACGTAGTTGTCTACTCTACCCTCTCTGTATGCTTCTTACCCTCTGCCAGCCATTACCCTCTTCCTTAGTTCTGTAATTTTGTCACTTCAAGAGCTGTAAGAATGGGAAGAGCAACACTGCATGTGTGTTGTGGTGTGTGCAGCTGTTAGGGGAAACAACTTCACAGTGAGAAATTTAAAACACACATGTTCCTGATAGCATGTGGGCTGAGTGAGTGGTTGGGAGTAAGTGTGGATGTCTTCCTGTCACACAGATGGAGAATGAGTTGGATTCTGCACGCTCTGAAATAGAACTGCTCAGGAGCCAGATGACAAATGAGAGGATCTCCATGCAGAATCTAGAGGCTTTGCTGGTGGCCAACCGGGACAAAGAGTACCAGTCCCAGATAGCACTGCAAGAAAAGGAGTCCGAGATCCAGCTTCTCAAGGAGCACCTTTGTCTGGCAGAGAACAAAATGTGAGTCGGCTGCAGGCGTGGCAGCAGAGGGCGCTCTGCCCTCTGTCCTCAGTGCCTCGTAATTGAGAATTTAAAGCTGGGATCTGGAGGTTGGAACCCACAATTTTCCATTAATTAGGCTAAGAATCAGGAGTGTTGTGATTTGCCTAAGATTTAATACCGCAGTCTAATTTTTCTAATCTAAAGTTTTTAAATGTAACAATCTGTGCTGATTGTTTTGAATGCAATAGATAGTCTGATTTAAAATACTGCACTGGGAAATGTAAAGCAAGCTCTCTGAACTCTCAGGGGCTTTGCATGTATTTGCTGTCTAGCCTTGCTTGTCTGTCTCTCCATTGGTTGCATCATATAGTTCCTTGTGTTTATAGAGTATAACTGGGTGCCCAGAACAACTGAACCCACAAAACACTGAGCACTCTCTCAGAATTTTTATCTTAGCCTGCTTTAAAAAATACTCGGTCATACTAACCTTTAATTACAAGGCCCTTAGATTGATATTCAAGTGGACATTCCTGCCTGGGTAGTGAAAGTTTATTAAAAGTGGTCCCCTCTGATGAAAGCGAATGGGACCCTGAGCCTCTGTGACCCATCCACAATACTTTTCATCCTTCCCATTCTCACACCTGAGCCTGGCACCTGGGGAAGCATGGTGAGCATCTCCTCTGCAGTCAGCCACTCCTAGGACCCCTTGGCCATCAAAGACCCCCAGGCCAGGGGTAGTTTCCTTGACAGTACCCTTAGGTGCTCTCGGCTGTGACCGAGTCATTCTTGTTGTTCTAGGCAGATGCTGTTATGATACTTTCAGCGGGTCTCGGTTCCTTTATCAAACTGGTGGGAGGAAATCCACCTTAGGAAAGAAGCAGAACTTTCATTATGAGGATTATTCCATTTCTGATTGCTGTTAAGTACTGTGACATGGAGCTGGCCAATGTGGGAAATTTATATAAAAAGTATGTTTATAAAGAACATTTGCATAAATGAATAATATAGATAGATGATACATACTGTTGATTAATTGAACAGGACTGGGATTGCTGAGGCTTTTCAAGTATTCAAGTTTGTACATTGAATATATCTAAAACATGCCCTTGAATTTGTCCATAGAAATCGATGTGGGGCTAAGGACATAGCTTGGTCAATAAAGGTGCCCACTATGCAAACATAAAGGTCTGCATTTGGATCCCCAGCATCCATGTAAAAATCAGGAGCAGCAGTGTCCGACTGTAACCCAGCACTGGGGGTGGAAATAGTCAGATCCCTAAGACACACAGTGCAGAGTGATTGATCAAAATACCAGGAACCAGCCCTCTGGCCTCCCCACCCAACACATGTGCAGTATACACAAAAACAGGAGCAAGCCCAACATGTGTGTGTGTGTGTGCGCGCGCGCGCGCACACACACACACACACACACACACACACTGAAATAACTTGCAAAAATCACGTTGTGACTTGGATCTAAGATGCCATTACCAATATGGTTTAATATACTCTTGAAGTCACAGGTATATTTTGAGTTTAATCAGCTATTACTCCTATCTTTTGCATAGGGCCATCCAGAGTAGAGACGTGGCACAGTTCAGAAATGTCGTAACACAGTTGGAAGCAGATTTGGACATTACTAAAAGACAGCTAGGGACAGAACGATTTGAAAGGTAAGTTGAGCTCTGTGCAACACTCTGCCTGAACATGACGTTTCTTAGCTAACAGTAGGCTTTATTTCATTAGGGTGTGTGTGTGTACACATAACATTTTTTCTTTTGTTTATTTGTTTAGACAAAGTCTCACTGTAGCCCAGGCTAGCTTCAAATTGCTAATCCTCCTGTCTCAGCCTCCAGAATGCTGGTGTTACAGGTGTTTCCCTGGCTCAGTAAGGGTTTTGTTATTTCATTATGGGTAGATTGTAATGTTTGAGTTGAGCTATAGTTTTGTGATAGGTTTCATAATGCCACCGAATGTACAGTTAAAAAGCATCACTGTTTGGCTACAGGGAAAGGGCTGTCCAAGAACTTCGCCGCCAGAATTACTCAAGTAATGCTTATCATTTGAGTTCAGTGAAGCCAAATACAAAATGTCACTCACCAGAACGTGCTCACCATCGATCTCCTGACCGAGGCCTCGACCGATCACTAGAAGAGTAAGTGTGCACAGGACCCTGGACCATGTCACAGTGTTGAGTCAGACTTCAGGGAGCGAGGAGGCTGTTTAAACTTGATTACTAAGATACAGTGATACAGAAAGAGAGGGTTTTCATCCATAAACACAAGTTTTATATGATCATTGTACTAAAGGAAAGATCTTTAAGTGCATCTTATCTTTGTACGCTGCAAACCAAAGCTAAGGCTTCATACACACTAGACAAGCACTGTCCATTGAACCGCATCATCACCTATCTGCTGGGCCGTCAGTCTGAATTCCTTTTCATTTCTGGGTTGTTTTCCATGTACATTTATTATACAATGTGGGCTAGTCGGTGTTGCACCGTAGAATACATAGGAAGGTACTTACTATTTTTTCATTTTAGATTTATTGTTATATTTTACAAATGTTTAAAATTTTTATTTGAGGATAATTTAAAATTTGTATGAAGTTACAAAAGTAAAACTATCTCTCAATTCAACGTTAAAATTTTGTCCCACTTATTTTACTAGAAATGTCTCATGTACCTATACTACTGTATATTTCCCCCATCTCTGTCTCTCTGAAGAAGCAACGGGTCCCTCCAGTTCCACATCATCATAGTCTTCTGTCTTGTGTTACCCCATTTTGTATTTGTATAGTCCTTATGCTGCTGTGAGAACCGGGGCTCAACACCAGCAGTATGCTCGACATTCCTGACTCACTGGCTCAGCCCAGGGTGCATCTGAAACTGCCTCTGCGTTTCTGCAGCATCATCAGTTCAGTAAAAAGACAGTACAAAGTTCGCCATCTGTTTGCAGGCCATCGTTTCTGCCTTTGTGTCCTACCTTTCCCAAGTGCTGAGAGCATTTAGTCAGATACCAAGTTCATGAATGACTTAAATTTGTTCTTTTATTCCCCCATGATCCACTGATACCTGTATTACAACCAGTGGTGGTCATAATGTGTTTTCTGTAATATTCTAAAAATATAAAAAATGAAACATTGATATCTCCTCCCCATTAAAAATTATTTATATATGGGTATTTTGCCTGCATATTTGTATGTGCATCAGTAGTGCGCCTGGTGCCTGAAGAGGCCAGAAGGGGGCGCCGTGTCCCCTGAACCTGGAGGCACAGAAGGGTGTGAGGCACAGTGTGGAGTCCAAGCCTGGTCCTGGGCAAGAGCAGCCAGCACCCCTGCTAACCCTGAGTTTCCTATAGCCCCTCCAACACTGGAACGCTAATGTACTAGTTTTGACTTTTTTCCTCTTATTGATTTCTGTTCCTTTTATTATTTCTTTATTATTATTCTTTACTTTGTTGGAGTTTTCACTTAGCTTTTTGGGTTGGGGATTAATTCACTTACTGCTGTTCTTTTGTTTAATTGATAAGAGTTATTCAGGGTTCTTCATTTTCCTCTGTCATTGTTTTAAATGATCTCTTGCACTCCTAAATGTTTTGCTTTTCTTTTAATTAGTTTGTGAAACTCTGCCATTTCTGTTTTATTTTACTTGCACCAGTGAGCACTAATCTTGTAATTTCTGGTTGGAAGAGTGCTTTGTGTTTCAGTTTTGGAGTTTATTTCTGCTGTTTTTGCGTCATGACTAGGAAAGACTGTCTGTGTCACTTCTGTTTCATGAGCTGTCTGCTCTGCATGTTTTACACGTGGCCAGTTTTTACAAATGTGTGCACTTGAGCAGGTATGTTTCTTCTTATGGCACAGTACTGTATTTGTAAAACACTGACGTTTGTGGTTTTATGCACCCATTTTGAGTAACCCTGATTACCTTTTGTCCACTTGGCCTGTCACACACTGTGAGTAGTGTTTTAAAGTCTGCCGTGAGCTTTAACTTCTTGAATCTCCTGTATGCTTCAAGGACAGAATTTTCTATTTATTTTTCAGAAATAGAACAATTCCACTAACATCTACTCTCTTAAAAGCTGATAGGACCTTGAACTGAACCGAACTGAAGGATGCTCTTGTCTTTCTTTTGGACAAATACACCCGTCTGCTGGGTGGTCACAGGTCTCTCCCGCTGCTGCTGGTCCCTCCTCTCTGCTTTTGGTTCGTGTTCTGGCACCAGTATTTGTATCTCGCACTGGCACAGTTCGGCAGGAGACGATTATTGTGTATATGGTGTGCTGTTGTTTGCTACACTGGCACTCTGAGCTGTCATCCTTCCTGTGGGTAAAACCATATTCAAGTTGCTGGTTCTGCTTTTATTGTCTCCATTTTTCTGGTAAATACCTTTACTTGGCTTTTTCTGAATCTCTCTGTCTTACTTAATCTCTTTTTAATAAAGTATTGATTTGAGTTTTGCTTTATAATCCATTTAATTTTTTTAACTAACGTTAAAAAAAGTTTAATAGGGATAAAAATTTTTATATTATTGCTGTAACTGTTATATTTGGTCTTAAATCTGTCACAATAGCTTATGTTTGCTTTTTGTATTATGCTATTTTCTGTATTTCTCCATCTGATTGCTTTTCTTTTTTAAATCAAATGTCTTCTAATAATTAGAAAGGTTTGTTTTTATGTGTAGCTTTTGTTAATAATACACCCATATCCCCCCCTTTAAAATTATTCTTTCACTGTTAACTTAAAATGTTGTTCCAAGACTGAAGAGATGGCTAGGACCCAAGTCAATTCTGTTTCCTCTGCCACCAGCTTTATCTCTTCCAAGTTGTCAAATAAGTGGTATCATACAGAATAAAGACTCTGTGCTGACTTAGTCTCTTCTATCTGCTGAGCAATATTTAATATCCATCGTATGGATGAACCACAATTTTAATGGCTGTTGTCTTGGAGATAGCTGTAAGGTAGTGCAGAGAATCTCATACAGCTTTTCCAGTTCCTACAGTGTCAACACTTTGCAAAACAGGAAACAGCTCTGGTATAATTCAGTGCAGGCTTCATTGATATTTCCCTAATGTATTCTCTTGTGTGTGTGTATGCGCGTGCATGCACAGTCTTTGTATACACCACTCGCTAATTAATAGCTAAATGCTGAATTGTCCCATCAGCACCAAATAATTTACCTCGGGGAAGATACGAAGAAAGGAACACATGCAACATGAAAGCAGAAGGGGCGATTATTAGGGGAAGGAGAGCAGAGGGGGAGATGAGGAGGGGGTTACTGAGGCAGGGGTACAAATAGCAAAAGATATAATAACATATATGTTATTGAGAAAACACCCATTACTAACTCAAATAGCAAAAGATATAATAACATATATATTACTGTGAAAACACCCATTACTAACTCAAAACATTAATTGTAAAAGAAAATCTTGCCTGAGGTACGCATCCCTTTAGAGTTAGAATCTGTATCTCCTGTGTCCTCCCTATCAGATGGCCAACTAACTTCTTAACCGTACTATACTTCTGTCAGTTTGAGGATCCTATGTAAATCCAGTCATGCATAGAACACAACCTTTGAAACTGACTTTTTTCCATTCTGCTTAACATTCATGACAACCATCCAATTTGTACATCTTAGTATTTCTTTTTATGTTAAAGTAGTGTTCCGTGGCATGAATATACCGTGGTTTATGAACAAATTCACTATATCCATTCCCTTTACAGAAGCTGAGGGGAAAGCCCAAGCGCTGCTAAAGTAATGCATAATATATCCTTTTTACACATGCTAAAGTTATTTCATTTAAAACCTTAATGTGTTTCTTTTTTCTATTATAGGAATCTTTGCTATAGAGATTTCTGAAATGTGAAAAGATTCTCCACAACCTTGGAAAGGTCACAGATACAAACGGATTTTTTTTTTTGCTATTTGATTGCATTTATCTTTTGAATGCTTGACAGTGTTAAATGTATTTATTAACCTTGTGCCTCTGAGTCTGCTCTCGAGTGCCATATCACAGTGATCTGGGATGATGTTTGCAAACAAAAATGCATATGGCTCTTTCTATCCATACAGTAATAGTGAGTGTAAAATCTACTTACTTCACTATTGAGCACTGTTTTGTTAACTACCCGGAGTAAATAAAGAAGCTTGAAAAAGAGGGAAAAGTGGTTTTACAAAACTGATTTCCTTTGTTGCTGTCTCAAATGACTGCTTGGTTAATTTTTTTTTTTTATTTTTTGTTTGTGATTTATATTCTCATGGCTGGGAAAGCTGTGCCAAAATGGGCACAGCTTAGCAGCACTGGTCTGGGACCCAGTATTGCATTTTGGAACCAACCTGACATAACTTCCATGCCACAATCTACCTTCAGAGTAGCAGTGTGCCACGGCTTTCAGTCCATACTGTTACAGCACACAGCCCACGGGCCATGCATTTTTACAATTGTGTTTGCTCCTACTGTTGTTAGAAAGGTAGGTGACTATCTATCCAGAATGTAAGATTTTTTAAAAAAAAATCTGTATTTTTGATAAGTTTTCTTCAAAACATTAAAGTACTGCAATCAACTTAATTGCCATTTTATTATTATTATTATTATTATTTTTGCCTATGGCAGCTGTCTGTAATCTGGAATGACAAGTTATTTCCTTCCCCTCACGTGCATCTCAAGTCTATTTTCTGTCCATAGTCTTTGATTTGATGTTGATATTAGAGCCTAAATGCTACTGTATTTTACTGATATAAGCTATTTGTATTCTTACGTTTTAATAAAAAAGCAAGCCCTGTCATTAATAGTATCCATATGATGGACAGTTTCTCATTGTCAGTCATTGTTCGGTATGGCAGTCGTCATGAGATAGTGGCCTCTTGAAATCTTATTTCATCAGGACATAACCACTAGTACTCTGATACTTCTTTATAAATTCATGTCATATACTCACTTTAGTTTGGTCTTCCAAAACCTTCGGGCTTATTTATGCAGTTTCAGACAATCATTCCAGACCAGCTAAAAAATGGGTAAAGTATGGTAAGTGCTCATGAATGTTTTAAAGAATAACATGCAGAATAACTTTTCTTTCCTATATCAAATAACATATCGAAAATGAACCTCTGCTGGGTGATCCAGTGACCTTGGCACTAGATCGTCACAGCATTAATATTAATCTGGTCTCCTAGACAACCAACAAGAGCTGAGTGTCACCTATGGAAAACACTTGCCAGATCATATGCAGAGTACAGCGTGTTAGGAGCGGGGCCCCAGAGTAAAGTCTGTGAGAAAGTATTGTCATACTTGATTAAAATTGTACAGTACTTGGTTTGTACCATTGTTACAAACTGTTTTGGAGGAAAATTTTATGATACTTACAAAGGGACCACTGTTATCTAAAGGCAAGAGAGACTCACTCATGCTGTATATTAAAACTTCAAAGACAAGACTTTTTGTTAAGGCAATATTCAAGGATATTTGTTTGAAATGGAATTATTGTCACTTGATATAAGCGATTGATAGCCCATTGATGTGGTAGAGCCTAGTTGGAAACACAGAATACCAAACATACTCTTTCTTGAAAAGGGCTGTAGGCTCAGAAATGTGTTCAATACAAAATGTCTACTCCAGCTGAAGAATGTGTGTTGAGAAAGAGAATTGCTAACTTACTGGGTAGTTTAAAAAGACTGAAGTTTTGAACCAGATATGCCTATAATTCTAGGGCTTGGAGGCAGAGTCAGGATGTTTGCCAAATGTTTAAGGCCAGCCCATATTATATAGTGACTTCTAAGCTACATAGAACATATCTCAAAAAACATTTTTTTTTTTTTTTTGTATAAAAAGCCCAGTTTGAAGTTCTAGGCACCCTTGGGGATTCTTTTGATCTCTTTAGTTAATGTGAACCATCACTCTGTTTTCTTTAGGAAGTAGAAGTCATTAGGACGAGAATCTGTGCTAGGTTCATAAGATAGAGTTTTAAGGGAGTGGGTGTTACCTTTCTGATATTTAGAATATAATTGTTGGAGATTATGGATGTGGCTCAATGGTAGAGCTTGCCTCACATATCCAAAGGTTCAGGACCCATCCCCTGCTGTTAGAGTTTATCCCCCTATTAGAGTTTAACAGCAATAGGAATAATGAGTTAATAGTATCCAGAAAGTATCAGCTACATAACACATAGGTCGAAATGAACAAAAATGGTAGTACAGCCATGAGACTCTGATGCTCTCAGAGCACTTACCAGTGTCCTCTCTTTTTCCTGTCTTCAATGCATCTTCCTGGACAGTTTTGCTTGCTCTGGCTTTTAATAGGGTCTCCTTGGCTTCCCAGATGCTGTTTATAACTGAACTGATGAGACTCATTTCCTACACTAAGGTCGGATGAGAGCTGCCAGTTGAAAAAAAGACTCCTCATGGCCCGTCAATCTGCAGTCCTCTCTCTATCCGAGATCATCAAATGTCACAAGCTCTTACTCAAAAGACAAATCATAAACTATCAGAATCTAACTTTTGAAACCTTTGTCTGGCCTTATACCACAAAGCTCAGGATAATTGACCCTCACTCTCAGCCCTACATGTTACTCCTTTGCCATTACAAAGGTTTCAACACAACCAGAGTGAGTTGAACTAATTATCTTTAATTTTTTTTTTGTAATTTCCCAATTGAATTGAAAAAAGCAACATATTTTGTAGGGAGATATTTATGTTAAGTAGCTTCTAAAGCAGCTTGTCTTAAGATATGATGTCCACAAAATATTCGGCCTTGCATCATGAACACCATTCAGTATTTACCCCTGTCAAGCTGTTTCAGTGGGTCAGTTTGAACTTGCCTTCTTCTTGCAACAAATTCTTGAATTGAAAACAAATGTCTTGTTTAGTTTTAAGGGAATGTATTCCATAGGTGCATTATAATTTAGAAAAGACTCTTTGAAGTCACAAGGCTGAAGCATCAGACCATCTCTCTTAGGGGTCCCTCATTGGGATAGAATTTACAGAAGTAAGGAACATGTCCAACCTCGTGATGAATGTGCAATCAAACATATTCAAGTACGTTTGTGTAACAGCGTGGCCTCTTCTATTAGGCAAGAATTATGCAAGATGTGTTAGGTAAGTCCTTCTTACAAATAATGTGATTCCTTGGGTGATATAGAAATAACATGTACAGCAGGGAGATGAAGTGCTGTAGTGTATTAAGTCTGCCTTCTTACAGTGCAGACTTGGATGTGATGCCTATTGTACTATTCTGTTATCCCTAATCCTAGCTTCCTCCACAGAAAAATACAATGATATCAGTTGGCCTAGGGCACCAGCAATGTGCCTAAAGCAGAATTAACATTATAACTAAATTTCCGAGATTCTAACCAATTCTTGTGAGTTTTACTAACATAACTAGAGTTATAATACATGTTACGCTTGTCTCATATTACATATGCTATAGTATATGTTGCACATATTTCAAATTGTATTAAATTTTTTCTTGTAACATTAGGAGTTGTACTTGCTGCTTCCCATGAATTTCTAGAATTATGGGTTGATTTATTTTTTTAAAGATTTATATTCATTTTTAAAAAATTGTTTATATCTATGAATGTGTTGCCTTTACGTATGTATGTGTACCACATACGTGGCTAGTGAATGCAGAGACCAGAAGAAGGCATTGGACCCCCCTAAATTGAAGTTATCTATTTTTACTTTGTAAATTATGTGCATATGAAGGCATGCATGAGTTCAGATGCCTACATAGTCCAGGGGAAGGCACCGTATCCCCTGGAACTAGAATTTCAGGAAGCTGTGAGCCACCCAATATGAGTGCCGGGAAATGAACTTGGTACCTCTAAAAGAACAGTCTGCACTCTCAACTGCTAAGCAATCCCTTCATCCCTGTGGGTGGCTTTCCCACTATACCATTTTATCTCTTTTCTGGCTTTGTAGCTTATCCCTTAGCTTTTTTTTTTTTTCAGTTACAATAGCAGGTCTTTCCCAGTCTGTATTACTGAAATAAATTATATACATTTTTATGCTGTGGTGGTAACCTCAGAATCATGTTGGATAAATGAAAGTTGCTTTGCTTTGTTATAAACAATGCTCTTTAAACAAACCTGGTCCCGTCCTGAGAAGATAGTAAATGTTGGAAACATTTACTTGAGCATCCAGTGCTTCCTACACCTTTGGGTAGCCTGTGGCATCTGGGAGGATGCTTAGAGATATAATTAGTCATACATATCCATATGTACCCAAGCCAACTGGAAATGTATTTGCCCAGTTTATGTAATTGGATATCATCTGGAACTACTTTCAACTCTTGTCTTTGAACTTTGAACACTGACCATTCACTGTTAGAAGCTTTTGTGTTGCGTGCAGTGTCTAAAACCAAGAACTTAAGAAGGTGCTAAGCACAATGTAAGTTCCCAGTAAAAATGTTAACTATTACAGTTCCCAGCTCCATCAACCTATAGATAAATTGGTTCATGTTCCTTTTATTTGCACTTGCTGGTGTTTAGACCATTTAAAACACTTAGATAAATTTTTAGAGATCCTAGCCAGCTAACCTTTTTGAGGGTCTAAGATAACTAAAATGAAAGGTAATGGTAAACACACACACACAGTGATTTGCTTGCATTTTAAATGATGGTAGTCGTGTGTGTGTGTGTGTGTGTGTGTGTGTGTGTGTGTGTGTGTGTGTGTGTATGTGTGTGTGGACAATTGCTGATCCTCCAGAAATTAACAAGTCACTTCCTGTGGTTTGAAGTGTCACACACGTGGGTCCTCAAATGCATATGTTGATGGCAGTTAGTGGTGAAGCCTCAGGGAGGCAGTTAGCATTAGCTGAGTTCTTGGTGGAATTAGCAGCTTTATAGGACGAGGAAGGGAGATCTAAGCATCTATGTTCCCTTGTTCTTATCACATGATGCACTCCACTGTATTATAATGTGTCAAAGAAGCACTCAACCAGTGGACAACACCTCTATAGTGATGTTTTAGACCCCAGACAATAGTAAATACATTCCTTTCCTTTATGAATTACCCAAACTGTGGTCTTCTATCAAAGCAACAGAAAACAAACTAAACAACCATTTGAAGAAAGTTTAATATATAGGCCAATAAAAAGGTAATTCCTTAAAAGTTAACATGCTCAAAAGCTAATAATATTCATTTATTGAAGAAGTTGAACATTGGATTTTATTAATTTGTCCAGTCACAGATGTTAGCCAGGACTAGAGACTGGCATGGTAGAAGAGCAAAGAACTGGGTGATGGTGATGATTTTGACAGTCCTCAGGGGTCAACAGAGCCCCGCCCACTGAGTTCTGGTCACCTGGGATACATAGATAAAAGGCACAGTGTTTGCCCTCCGTGAGTTCACAGCCAAAGTTCAGAAACACAAGTAGAGAAAGTAATAGAAGGTAAGTCAGAGAAGTAACCTCTGGGGTTAAGGAGAGCTGGGCAGGCATGAGAGCAGGCAAAACATAGATGAACAGGTTAATTAAGTTGTAAGAGCTAGCACAAGACAAATGTCTCCAAGTCATGCTTTGGCAGCTGGTTGGTGGCCCAAGAGAAAGCCTGCTGCAGTTCACGCTCTATGAGACATTCTCATATTTTATTTTAATTCTGTGTATATGTTTGTGTGTACACCTGTGTGTGTGTGTGTGTAGGAGCATGGGCACACATGCATATGAAGACTAAAAGTCAACTTTGGGTCAGGTCATGCCCCCTTGCTCTTTGAGCTTTAGAGATGCACATGATACCTTGTCCTCAGCACTGAGATTACAGCTGGGTACCACCCTACAACGTGGGTTCTGGGGTTCAAACTCATCCTTGCA